TATATATATATATATATATATATATATATATATATATATATATATAAGAACCAATATATGGTTCTATTTGTTTCTATTTTTCCTCTAGCTTGGCAAACATTGCCAAATAAAAGTTTTTCCTCATAAGTGCTGATTTTATCAACCCAGTACCTTGTAGGTATGACTTTATTTCTGGTCAGACTGGCTCATCAGATTGGAACTGCAGCAAGCAGCTCTCAATAATTTTTGTGGGCAATATGCATCAGATGGTCAGTGCATGTACTGAGCGCAGTCTGTGGGCTGAGGCTGAGACTAATACGCGGCAGACTTCAGCCGTTGCAGCCATGCACACATGTTTGCATTGTATAGGGAAGGGAGTCAGCAAATACAGAACAATCCCTAAGAAAACACCCACCCACTGCACATATCCTGATTCAAATAATTTCTAATTAGACGTTCATCTCTTCAGCATGTCTTTATTAAACCAAAACCCAATGTATGAACACTCTCTTTCTTTTAGTCCACTCCGTCCCCGTCTGCTGATCTGCTGGGGCTCCGCACGGGTCCTCCTGTTACCGCCGCTGCTCCCAGCGCAGGCAGCTTATTGGTTGATGTTTTCTCAGAGGCTGGTGTCAATGATGATGGCTTCCTGAGGTAAATAAGGATCCATTTCGTAAGCATCCTGTTTTCAGGCCATTGTGCATTTATTGCTTTAACTGAAGTGAAGTGCACTAATATTTTAACATGTTCAGGACTTGTGTATATATATGTCCGTCAGGCTTTCTGCTCTTCTGTCGTTTCACTTTCTATCACTCGTTCTTCTGGTCTTCCTCTTTTTGTGTTGTGTAATCTTGTGTCCTTTATCTTGCTGCGTATGTGACTGTCTTTCTCTTTTCTTGCTTCTTTTTTTCTCTTTCTCTTTCCCTCCCTTTTCCATCTCCCTCATTTTGGTGTGTGTGCGCGCACGTTTGTGTGTATGCGTGAACGGATGTGCGTCTCACGTCCTTGCTTTTCGTTGGACGATGGCAGAGATCTGGAACCCCCCACTGAAAGCTCTGACTCCCTATTGGCTGAGGGTCCTGGTGACTCTGAGTAAGGGGCCAGTGGTAGACTACAGTGTCAATATGTTACAGCAAAACTTATTGAAAGTCAATAGTCATATATAAACACTTAACTTCTTAATTATTTATAGATGTTGTTGTGTAAATGTGTTCTTTTCTGTTTGTGTCTGTGGAGTATTTGTGTGCTGTGTGGAGGTAATATGAATTGCTAACATTTTACTGGCCGCAGATGTAATGCCGGTACTAACCTCTGCCTTTGTTTTTTTTCTCTCCTCTTTCTCCCTACCTACTTTGGCTTCACTCTGCACTTTTTACTGGCTCACCACTTTCTAACATCTTTAATCTGTTTTAACCATCTGTGCCTTTTCACACTTAACACTTCTCACCCCTCTTTTCATCTCCTGGGGCCGCTCTCCTCTCTCTGCATCCTTCGCTTTTGGTCTCTCAGCTCTGCTCCCCCTTCTGTGGTCTCTGAAGATCCTGCTACTCCTCTGCCTGAGTCAAACGAACTACTCAACAAGTAAGAGCTCACTCGCCCACTTCACTCCCTCCATTCAGTCACCCAACCATCACAAACAACCCACAGCCTTCTCATTTTATTTCTTCTTCTGTTGTATTGGAAGACAGAATGCAAAATGTAGTTAAAAATAACCACGGACAAAGGTTTTTTTTTTTTTTAAATTTTAAATGTTCCTGTTAATCTTAAGCATGTAGTTTGGGAACTGCTAGTCAATATTTTTTTGTGTTTATATATATTTTTTTAAAGGGTTACTCCACCCCAAAATGAAAATGTTGTCATTAATCACTTACCCCCATGTCGTTCCAAACCCGTAAAAGCTTTGTTCGTCTTCGGAACACAATTTAAGATATTTTGGATGAAAATGGGAGGCTTGTGACTGTCCCATTCACTGCCTAGTAAATTACACTGTCAAGGTCCAGAAAAGTATGAAAGACATCATCAGAATAGTCCATCTGCCATCAGTGGTTCAACTGTAACATTATGAAGCGATGACGAGAATACTGTATTTGTATGCGAAGAAAACAAAAATATGACTTAATATATGACTTATGACACAGAAGAGCGTACGCTGCTTGCGTTCAGTGGATATTCTCCAAAATGCCGCTATGGTGATGCGGAGAGACACAGCGGAGATGAATTGTGGAATAAAGTCATTATTTTTGTTTTCTTCGCGTACAAAAAGTATTCTCGTCGCTTCATAACGTTACGGTTGAACCACTGATGGCAGATGGACTATTCTGACGATGTCTTTCATACTTTTCTGGACCTTGACAGTAGGGGTGGAACAATATATCGATATGGCAATATATAGTTGTCCTTCATGCGATACGAGAAACGATATCTGGCTCCAAATATCGATATTTTACCACAATACAATACTACAATTTACTCCAATATATTACTACAATAAGGCGCTCTATATAGATTTCCCTGCTCCCAGCATCTAAAAAATGCATGGAAATCGTGGCCGCACCATTTCCACCCTCTTTCCGAAGCGCTCTGAGCAACCATGAACTGCGTTCTCTATGAAGATGGGGGAAGCACGAGGAACCGAAGGATAAACAGATTTCCAGCCACTGTATTAGCTCTACTGCTCTATATATGTTTATGGAGATAAACAAAGATGGAGATAAAAAACTGCCCCGGAACAGCTATCAGCGTGGACTGTAGGCATCGATCACGTTATTATTGCAGAGTGCATATTGAGTCTGTGAGTAGCCTAACCTCTCCGCTCGGATCGCAGGTGAATTTCCCTCACTATATGAGTGAGAGAGAGCGGCGCCGGCACGTCCAGTTTTATGTCAACAAAACTGGATCTCTCCCTCTCTCTCAGATATTACAAGTGCACGTTAGGGCACCGACCGGCAGAAACATCTGCACCTATGGCATGGACGACGAAACAAAACCTCGTCAGAGCTGTAATGCGGCGCAGAAATGTGCAGTGTGTTTGCTTGCCGCGCGTCTACATTTGAAATAATGAACCTGAGCGTGCAAAAGACGCGATGTGAATGGGTCCCCCCACCCCCCTTATAAATATCTTAAATTGTGTTCCGAAGACGAACAAGGCCTTTTCGGGTTTGGAACGACATGGGGGCAAGTGATTAATGACAAAATTTTCATTTTGGGGTGGAGTTATCCCTTTAAGTGTCAAGTACACACTAAAGGTCTGGGTGGATCAGTAAGATTTTTTAAAGAATTTAAAGAAATACTTTTATTATAGTAATCAAAAGTGATCGAAAGATATTTATAGTGTTAGAAAAGATTTATATTTCAAATGCTGTTCTTCTATGTACCTTCTATTCATCAAAGAATGTTTTCAACAGCGATAATAAGAAATTGTCTGATATTTGAGTGATTTCTGAAGGATCAAGTGACACTGAAGATTGGAGTAATGGCTGCTGAAAATGCTGTCACAGGTTTAAACTAGGGATGCACTGATCCGATACTCAGTATCGGTGTTGGCTTCGATACTGCCATTTTCTGCCGGATCGGGTATCAGTCAGACGAGACCGATCCAAATCCGATATTGTCATATGCCATTCTGTGTTATTGTTAAAGCAGCACTATAACTTTTTCTGTGTTCAAAATTTGCAAAATGTATATAATGAGCGAGTACATCATGAATTCATCTTCCAAAGATTTAGAATTTTTGTCTTAATCCGAATCACTACGGTACACTTATAATAAGTACTTATATTTGGACTATTGTAGCCTGGTCGAGTCGTCACCGCTGCGGAGTAACACATACCTGCGTGAATCACCATAGACATAAACTTAGAGAAGTAGCTCCGGTTGGAATGTTCTTCCGCGGAATGTGTGCAGTTCTGTTTATTAACTGCTAGAGCTTCAAAAGTTACATAGTGCTGCTTTAAGCCCCACGAAAGGCACAAAAACATTATAAAGCACCATGTTTTCGTGCATTCTATTCCAAATGTACTGAAAACGTTCTATTGTTTAATGTAAGGTTTCAAAAGTTACATAGTGCTGCTTTAAGCCCCACGAAAGGCACAAAAACATTATAAAGCACCATGTTTTCGTGCACTCTATTCCAAATGTACTGAAAACGTTCTATTGTTTAATGTAAGGTACAGATGAATATTGTTAAATTCAAGTTGACCTAAACTCTTCTCTCTGCTGCGGCTGTCAGTCATCCTCCATTCAGCATTCAAACTGCATGCCGCGTTTGGTTGCAACAGTCAAGACGATGAAACTCCAAGATTATTCAGTGTTCCTATTATTATGCTTGATCTCTAGATAAAGATAATTGGTTTTGCATTAAAGGACTTTATCTAGCTGGAGTTTAGTGCTGTTTCTGAAGCATGTTACTTTCTACCGGGTGTCTGTTAGATCACAGATCTACCTCTCTGTATTGGAGCCTTTTGTATTATACTTTGGCGCAATGAAAGATTATTAATAGCCTTTCTTTTTCTGTCCTATATCTATCATGTTGCTGCCACATTACTATGCTATACATTTAAAAGAAATTTCTTTTTTTTTTTAAAGAAATTTTATAGTACATATATATATAAATATATTTACTTGTTTTTTATTAATGTATTTTACAACAATACAAAGAGCAATGTGTAACATTTTACCAGATTTAGTACTACACTTTTTTTTTTTTTTTTTTACTAAATGTTTAGATTGTATATGAGATTATATATTCTTTCATTTGTTATTTTTCTTTATAACGAAGTTGTCTATATTTAGTAGATTGTGCTAGTAAACTGCTAGTATCGGATCGGTATCAGTATGGGCTGATACTCAGAATTTTTGGGATCGGATCGGTTCTGAAAAAAATGGTATCAGTGCATCCCTAGTTTAAACTACATTTTAAAACATTAAAATTCAAAACAGTTATTTTAAATTGTAATATTTTGCGTTATTTTGATCAAATAAATGCAGGCTTGGTGAGCATATGAGACTTCTTTCAGAAACATTAAAAAAATCTTTAAAACTTTTGAATGGCTATATGAATAGAAAATGTATTATTTAATGTTGGGAAAAGCTGTCTTATATTCTGTTCTGCACACAGCCCAGACTTATAATCTAGGTTATGACCATTAATTATGGTGACCAAATAATACATTTAAATGCAAAAAAGATCAGAGTCAGCAGTATGTCGGCACTCACTCAAAAGCTCTAGTCCAGGAAAACAATACCCTGTTTCTGCTTTCACATTGTGGATACTTCTGTTAGATGCCCTGCATAAGCTTCATATATATATTTGGAGAATGTGCGCTAATCACTAGTTCACAGCTCCAGTACTTATTTGTAATAATTTATTAGAGGAGACCATGGCACTACATGGTAAACAGTGGCCAGGAGCATTTAAGTTTTTTTTTTCTTTTTTTTCTTGTGCTTAGGCTTCAGATTACAGTCTCTTGTTTCTGTTGTCACCCTTTCAACACCCACCCTCCTCTCAGTGTCTTATGCTGCATTCACGTGCTCCTCAGATGGTCCTGTTTCCTTAAGGCGAAGTCGTTCTTCCAGTGTTGATTTGCATGGATTTACTTGCCTGTTAGTTAATTTTTTAATTAACCGAGTCCCTTAGCATGGACAGAAACGAATTGTATCTTTTACTAACGCTGTTGGTAATTACCTGTTTTACTAATGGTCACAAACTATCATTAAAGATCAAATAAATAAAAAATTGGAAGTGAGTTTTCCATTGTGAGTTTGCCCAGTGGCTGGCTCATGTTTTTGATTTTTCTGACAACACGTGAACACACCATTACAAAACCAGTGCCATTCCTGGCTGTCCCTGCATGTTTGTCTGCCTCACACGCACTCTTATCTCTTGCCCTCAGGTTTGTTTGCAAGAACAATGGAGTTCTGTTTGAGAATCAGCTGCTACAGATCGGCATAAAGTCTGAATATCGCCAGAACCTGGGTGAGTCACAACATCTGCAGAATGATAATTGCATCATCTGGAGGTCAGTGTCAGCAGTCTGGACTTCTGCTTAACCAGCGTTTACGAGTGACTAGTTTCAATGTACACATTTAAACAGTTCTTGCTCATTTTTATCCTGTTGTTTTAGCATTATAAAAACCTGAAAGGGATGTTACAGTGTTAATATTTGACTTGATATTCAAATTGCATGTGGGTTAAAGACAAGATGTCCCATTTTAGTGCCTACATCAAATTAAATTTACAAAAGTTATCTTATACAGATAGATAGATGCATATTGAATGCAAATGTCTACTTTAATGTTTAAAATAACTTTTGTGAAAGTAAAATGTCAACATATGGGCAAAATGTCCCATCATCATTGAGCGTAACAGATATATGTAAAAATAAAACAACATAGTTATTCTGACCTGTAATATATAAAAGAAAGTTATCATGCTAAATTTTATTATATTTTAAATGATAGAAATCTTGATGACAAATGGGTAAAACCAAGTGGTTTGAAGGATAGTGGCAAAGATTGATAAAGATTTAAAATTACAATTAATTTTTGGGGGATGCACTGTCATCCTTATTTAATGTCATCTAATGATTCATGCCTGAAAGTATATTTTGGTGTACAAACTATTGTTACACTGAATGACATTTTAGTGTTTTCTGTAAATCATGGAAAAATGTATGATAGTCATTATTTTTTACTCCGCTTAAAATAAACAGGACACATTCTAATGCACAGAGAAAACAAACAAACAAAATGTAATGCTGTATTAAACTTTTGATGCTTAAACCCCTTTTCATCTTTGACCTGTGTATGTGGTCTCTCGTCACAGGGCGGATGTATCTGTTCTATGGCAATAAGACGTCAGTGCAGTTCGTAACCTTCACGACTACAGTCACCTGTCCAGGAGAGCTACAGTCTCATATCCTTCACATCCACACATGAAAACTCATGATCATTCTTGCTTACACACATTGTGATTTTTGTCATGTACATGATCAGAGTACGCTGGTTTGTTGTTTAACTCCTTAACTGATCCCACAGCTCAATGTTCAGTCTAAAACAGTGGAGCCTCTCATAGAAGGAGGTGCTCAGGTGCAGCAGGTCATCAACATTGAGTGTCTGACTGACTTCACTGATGCACCACTCCTCAACATCAAGTTCAGGTAACAGATGCATTTATTTAAATGGTTTATGACCATGAGTCAGCATACGCTCTGAGATTTACTCAATTGTTGTGCTATTTCAGGTATGGCGGAGCTCTCCAGAATCTCACCCTCAAGCTGCCTGTTACCATAAACAAGTTCTTCCAGCCCACAGAGATGGCATCACATGACTTCTTTCAGCGCTGGAAACAGCTCAGCCAGTGAGTGTTTGTGTGTACACAGAAGACAAATTACTGTATACATGCATCACAAACTGTTCTCTGAGTGAGAAACATGTTCAATTCCCTTCTCACAAGGCCTCAGCAAGAAGCACAGAAGATCTTCAAGGCCAACAATGCCATGGACACCGAAGTGCTCAAAGCAAAGGTGGGTCTACACAACTTCATACTGACTTTGTAATGTCATACTAGCCTGCTGCATATTGCACAGTATATACTGTACACTGGCTACTGTTTCTTTAAAGGTGGGATAAGTGATTTTTCAAAAACTCACCTGAAATTTTGCACACATCACCTGGACTAAACCAGATAATTTACGATATTATCATGTGTAGTATTAACATGATATTTCATTTTTTAAATATCACAGTAATCGCTAATGCTGGTACATTGCAACATCCCTCTGCAGGAATAGTAAGATTAGTATGGCAGAACATTACTTCAGTTATAGCCATTCAATGTAGAGGGGTGATGTCATTCCTGCAGAATTTATTTACAGATGAGTCCACTTAATTTGATTCTCATCTTCTGTCTTTCATCTTTTCCCTTCACCCATATGTTTCATAGTTACTGGGATTAGGCATGGCTCTCTTGGAGAATGTGGATCCGAACCCAGAGAACTTTGTGTGTGCCGGTGTGATCCAAACCAAGGCCCAGCAAGTGGGTTCTCTGCTAAGACTCGAGCCCAACGCACAAGCTCAGGTATGAACAGACAGTTTTATGCTGATTTGTATCCATATTACACAATCAAAAGAAAAGGAAAACAACAAAGAAATGCCACAAGCATCAAAAGTCCCTCCCTGCTGCTATGGAGCACAGACTTCTCTCCAAGTCAGTTTTATTGCATCTTACTGTTGTCTGTGTGTCTCTGTGCCTGCTGATGCAACTCAAGTCTGGGGAGCAGGTAACGCATTCATCCTGCCACCCCTTTCAACTCAAACCACCTCCCATCCTCCCTCCCTCCTGCTCTTGTGATTCACTCCATGTCTGGTAGTAAAACCCAGTTGATTTGACGTGACAGCAGCATCCTTCTCTTTGTATCTGTGGAGTTTCCTTTGTCCATTGTGCAAGTTTACATTTAGTCTCTGTATTGGCAGTAAGGATCAGACACGCATTCAGACAGCAGAATGAGCGTCTGTCTGCACAATTGATGTCTTTCTCAGTTGTTTGTGTGTCTGTTTCTATTTTGTAACGCTCTTTATTCTCTCTCAGATGTACCGGTTAACCGTGCGCAGCAGTAAGGACACTGTCTCCAAGCGTCTTTGTGAGCTGCTGGCAGAACAGTTCTAGAAAGTGAGCCGAGACTAGCACCATCTAGAACCGACACCCAGACCAGACCAGCGTTCCACCTGAGAGACCCCAGAATAAAGAATCTGCAAAACACATTCACACATAAGGGAAAAAAAGTAGCTGTCAGTCTCTGGCAGCCATATTACTGTCCTTCTGATAATGATTATTATTACTGTTATCATCAGTGCTGCCCTTCTAGTTTTTATCTGTGTTTACTTGTGTGTGGTGCGAAAGGAAGCGTGCATGTGTTTTTTTTCCCATACATGTGTGAAAGAATCTTGGTGGTAGTTCCGTTCTCCGTCCTGCCTGTTCAACGATCAACTCCTGTGCTTGTGTTGACAGCTTGTGTGTGTGTGTTGTGGGTTGAGGAGGGAGGGAGAAAAGTAAAGCAAAAAGATGGAAGTGGAGCAAGACTTCCCTCTCTCCTGTTTTATCCGCAAAATTTCAACCGGAAAAACTGCACATTAGCTGTTTCTTTGGAACATTCCCTATAAAAGACTATTAGCAGGACAAGAAAACACAATCTCAATACACTAACGCAATGGCACTTCCCTAAAAGAGGCCAGAATCACTAACCCCCATCGCTTTCGCTCTCGTTTTCCTCCACTGAAAGCAGTTACATCCAGAGCCATTGGTGTACATAGAAAAAAAAGAGATTCCACATGCATTTCCAGTTTATCGCACCGTACGTACGTTCTTTCCGACGTAGAAATGGCCAGTGCACTTTAAGAGGCTTTGAGAGGAAAGGCTTTTATAGTCCCACCCCCTTTTTCCTATTCTTGTCCTATGTATTCAGTACTCGTCCTGACCCCCATATCTGACTATGTTTATTAAAAAAAAAATCTCTATATATAAATATATATATAAACCATGTAAATGATTACCCTTCATGGTTGCATTTGTATGTCTCTTTCTTGTTTTTGATAGTGGTATATTGTCAGTGTGTTTGTATGCTTTCTTAAATGGTCTAATGTTTTTGCTCTTGTTTTGGACATTCCATTCTGTACTACAAGTGAATGGGCATAACGTTTCAGGTTAGTCGTACAGTGTTAAACGAACTGGGGAGGAACTAGAATCAGAAAGAGGAAATGAAGCCGAGGGAGGGTCAGGTTCGCCAGTGTGCGAGTTTCTGCACATGAAGAGTGCAACTGCTGTGGACCTTCATGTAAATGTCTTTTTTATTTTATTTTTTGTAATATCGTTTAAAAAAAACATCTGGAGGACATTGACAACATCTGTCACTCTTCCAGCATAGTTATTGACTGAAATGAATAGTAGATAGTGGTTACCTCATTACTAAATCCTTACATGACATACACTATTAACTTTGAGTGGTGAGTGACCACAGCTGGAGACCCATATTTGCTTTTGCAGCGATAAAACCTGAGAAAGCACGTAGTTTGTGAAAAGTCGTCACATGCACGCAGTTGTACACACATTCTTAGGCTTAGAGGACGGGGCCTTAAGGGGGAGCACTGGACCAAAGCAGCTGCCAACTCAGTCACGTACAGGGATCATAACGATTTTGGTCAGCATCGTTTGGTGAGCAAGTGTGTGGTGTTATTCAGTGTGATCCATGTGAAAAATATAATGGAATTTATGCGACATTGTCATGTTAGTTCAGCTGGGGGTCACGCTTCCCTCGATGCAGTGATGCAGTACTGGGGACATGGTCATTGTAGTTGATTAGAATCAGTCATTGCGCGTGTGTGTGTTTCTGTGTGCGTGTGTCTATGCAGTATCCGCTAGCTAATGCAGCCCCGGTGTATCGCTGTTCAACCTGTCAGATACCTGTGTTAGATTCAATTTACTCTGTACTGAATAATGTGAAAGTAAAATTATGCCATATACTCGAACCAGCTGTTTTCTTTGTGTGTGTGTGTGTGTGTGTGTGTGTGTGTGGTAGGGATGGGCAAAGATCAGGGTGACAGGGCAGATAGCTGAATCTCACACTTGCACAAAATAGGTCATTATCTTTCAGCTCAACATTGTATAGGTCGACTTCATCTGATGTAAAGTGGGCCATAACAAAGGTTTAACAATGTAACACAACTGTAATATAAAAACAAGTTAAATGTTTTCCAAACTTGACACTTATTTCGTTCTGATTGGAAATGAACCACAATTATTTTATGTAGATAGGCCTGTATGTTTAGTGAATATTATTCATCTATCCAGGAAAATATTATGCAGGGTTTTCAAGACAATATCTTTGCAATGATCAATGTTTCCATCATTGTTCATTCTTTTGTTAAATAGAAAATGCAAGACACCATTTTGTTACCCAGGGTGGTATAGCAATTAATTCATAGTTTATTTAATTAACATAAATCGAATTGTAAGTCTGTTGCAGTTGAACGCGTTTTGCAGCCGTTGTAGCGCGAGAGAAAAAAATCATTTAGTGATACAATCTGATAAAAACACATGACACTGAAACATAAATATGTCTGAGGTACAGTGCATCGCGTAAGGTTAATATAGTATAAAAATGATATCAATGGGTAAATGCGGACAAGTGAACTATGCGTTCTGAATAATATATTTTGCTTACGAGAGAAGCACGGCTCGCATGGGACTTTGCACACGAGGTGGCTTACAAAAGCATCTAGAAGGACAGAAGAGTCTCGTTTGACGGATTACGCACTCGATTTGCAAATGAAAGCGGCGTGTTTGTCTGAAAACCTACAGAGAGTAAAACACGATTCATCACAATAAAAATGCCGAGGTCTTCAGGCCAAACTGATGATGGCGAACAAACGGAGCGAGCCCGCGCGCGCGTCAGAGAGCAGCCCTGCGCGCCGATTGGCTGGAAATGACATCATATAGAATTGTACTATTCTTAGCTTCTGGAAACGGGATGACCTCATCTTCCCCCCCCTCGCGCAGGTATAGACAGACATACAACAACAAATAATGTTAGAGGCGCAGACGAGCGGAGAGGAGCACGGGAGCACAACTACCGAGAAGACAGATCAAGGATCTCTTTATAATCAAGCCGATACATATATATATATATATATATATACTTCATGCTTTCTCCTGTTTGTGCTATTTACAACGTTCATCCACTAGATTCGTTGGACTTTTTCAACATTTTCTGATTTCCTACGCACTCTGCTGATCTGTAACGGACTGAACTGGTGAGTACTAGCTTTTAGTTTGTTGTCAATAAGCCTAACTTGTATACTATTACCATTGTTAAATGCAATTCATGAAAACTTTCAATAATTGTAGGGATACCAGTTGGCCTGCTTTTAGGATTCTGTATGTGTGTTCTTTGCGTCATAGACTCGGGCAGTAATTTTCAGTGTATTTTTTCTCCATAGGTTTCGGGTTATATAAATATATATATTTTAAAAATCAAGAGATGGTCTACTACAGGGACAGTCAGTCCGAGCGGCCCCCGTTGTCGCGTATTCTGCCGCATCTGTACCTTGGTGCAGAGACTGACGCAACGCAGGTATATTTACAACTTCTCTTAACGATTTATCATGTTGCATAATCCTCCCAATCCATATTAAAATTACATTTGCTGCATAGTCTATTTGCATATACATTTGCTACAATAGTTTGCTCTCGCCAGGGTTTTGCAGAACATTAAAGTTACTTTCTCACCTTTCACCCGCTATTCGTACCCACAGGATGATTTGTCCGACCGAGGCATCTCGTACGTACTAAGTGTGAGCCGATGTTGCCCACAGCCTTCATTTCTACCCCAGTCCCAGTACCTCCGTATCCCAATAGACGACTCCCTGCGGGATGACCTGCTTCCTTGGATCCCTCAGGCGTTGCACTTCATTGGTGAGGGACCCGAAATCCCGTGCTTACATCAGCCTGCATTTGCATCCCAAATACATTACATCATTAATACTAGCATCCATGCATAAAACTATGACTATGGAAACAGATGTGTTTTGTCTGTCTAAAAAACATAATTTGAGACTAATTAAAAAAAAAGATAATTTTTATGCATCTGGTTAGAAAGTCCTCGGTATACACTATCCCCCAGTTTCACAGACAAGGCTTAAGCCTAGTCCCAGACTAAAGTGTAACTGAAAGAAACTTGCACTGACTGATCTTAAAATTATATCAGTGCCTCTGTTTTGTCTCAAAATGCACACCAGTAATGTTTTTTCTTAGGCATGTTAATAAAAATGACTTAAATGTCCTAATTAAACTATTGCCTTGTCCTGTCTTAGTCTAAGCCCTGTCTGTGAAACCAGGCCTAAACGTTTTAAAATACGTTTCAATGTGCAGTATATACAATATATTTTTTTAATTAAAACAAACTGTTTCAGATGGGGCCATGTCACGTGGCTGCTCAGTCCTGGTCCACTGTGCTGCAGGAATCTCTCGGTCTCCAGCACTTGCTGTTGCCTACGTCATGTATAGCCTGAAAATGGATCTGGATCATGCATACAGGTAATGCGCATATGTTGTTTGTTTTAATTCTACTGCCATTTTCTATGAAAAAAAAGAGTTAGGAAATTGAGTTGAAGATGAATATTGAATATGAGTTATGAATTTTTTCATTGTTTTTTTTTCTTCTTTTTTATCATGAATGCAGATCATTTAAATAAATTAATTATAGTGCTGTCAAACAATTAATCGCGATTAATCACATCCAAAATAAAAGTTTTTGTTTACATAATATATGTGTGTGTGCTGTGTATATTTATTCTGTATATATAAATACATAAACATGCATGTATATATTTAAGAAAAATATGTTGTTTATACATTTAAAATATTTTAATATAATATCAATTACATGAACATAAATATATACATGGAAATATTTTCAAAATATATACTGTATGTGTGTGTATTTATATATACAGAATAAATATACACAGTATAAACAAAAACTTTTATTTTGGATGCGATTAATGGTTTGACAGCACTAGTTAATTATCACTATCTGATCATTTCTTTAGGTTTGTGAAAGAACGCAGACCTACAATTTCACCGAATTTTAACTTCTTGGGGCAGCTGCAGCTCTTCCAGGGAACGCTGTCTTTAAAGAATAATAACACTAACCTTCAGGTTCAGCAGTCAGTCAAACCGTTGGATAACTGCCTACAGCCCACCAATGAAAAAAACAACAGCAGTTCCACAGTGGCACTGTTAACTAACCTGAACCTTCAGAATAACATGGACAAAAACTGTATTATTAATGGATGTAATGAGGATTCCAAAGCAAACTTGCACTTTGAGAACAAGAACAACCAAATGGAAACTATTCAGAGCCGAGGCCAACGCTATGAGGTAATGAAGCCAGAGTTTACATTATCTCTTTCAGACAAGCTCGGAGCGCTCACTCTCCGCACAAATCCCATAGAGGTACAAAGACCAGTCAAAGTCACATCCCAGACACAGCAGGATGCACCAAAATCCAACCTACCTAAGCCTACTTCCCTTCAGATTCCGTCTCTAGAGGAGAAACGCAAAAGCCTTACTCTTTCCCTAACACCAGTGAGTGCAGTTCCTCAGACTCACCAGAAGGGGTCGTCAGTGAACAGCTGTGGTCTGAGGCAGGGCAGTTCCTCAGTTGACCAAACGGGGGCGTTAGATGACCTGGGCAGAGTCAATTTGGAGCCGTCAACATCAGAAACCAGAACAGAACCAAAAGAGGTAAACGGGTTTATCAGTGAGGAAGCTTCAGCTACACTCAGCATCTCAAAATCACAAAGAAGAAAGAGTAAACTAAACACCAGTAAGCCCAGAGCAAATGTGGAGCTACAAAAAACAAACCAACTGAACCATTCAAGCACAAGATCACACAGGCAGAGCCAGGGACCATGTGGTATCATAACCTCCCCGGAGGAGCATTTCAAGAAAGAGGTTATTGGTGGTGTAGAAGCAGTGGAGGGTATGGTTGGAGACCAGAGCCCCTTGTCTCCGGTAAGTCTAACAGTCAACAAAATACTGGACTGGTGCGAACGCATGCTGCTTGGGGTCCTACTTGGCCCACGTGTTAAACTGGGACAGGCTGCTTTGCCGTACAGATGTTGAAGAGAGACTGGTTGTATGGACTGTGCTATTTAAAAATACAGGTGTAAACAAGGACTGTACACTGTATCTCCCTAATGATCTGAAGGAACTTAAATGAGGACAACGATGCTATCAATGAAAAAGCATATGTGTGATTGTGTGAATTCACTTATTTATTTAATAAAATTGCATGTTCCTCCAAGAC